TTTGGAATATTTATTTTGTTTATGTGCAAAGTTAAGTGACAAAACACCTACTTTAGTAAACCTACTTTAAAAAACACACAAACATTGTTTAAATATCGATAAGGTTGCAACAAACCTTCAAGTCCAAGAAAATTTTAACTTAACCTTAAACACTATTTTCCTGTTGTGGAATGTTAAGACATCCAGAGTCCAATGTTCGGTTCCCATTAAACTGAAAGACTGAGCAGCCATGTTCTGCCTTTAGTTTCATCACCAAGCTAATGATAAAGCACCAGAGCCACCTTTGGCAGTTCACTGATATCAAAAGAGAACAAAATCCTTAGTTATTTCTGTATTCATGTGATCTTTACTTGAGAAACTGTGAGAAAATACACTTTTGCTCATCATGAATCATATTAATTGGTCCTTTACATCTCACTACCTCTCCAAAGGAGGCAAAACTTCAAAGCTGAGCTATGTATACCAAAAGAAAAACACTTACCTCAAGACAAGGTACAGAAGGTGACATTTTATATTAGACCAATTTCCAGTGATAGAAGGTACAAGACTTTGAACTACAGAGAATTCTTCATGTCAAGAGAAAGAAACTTTCCAGACCTGAAGAACTCTAATTCAAAATCTTGTACCTTCCAACAACGGAAGCTGGTCCAATAAAAGATACTGCCTTGCAAAGCTAGTGTTATATTCTGGGACCAACAGAGCTATACCTCCACTCTTACTTTAAGAAATTAATGTCAAGAAAAAGAGCTCAGCCATTTTTTCCAGTTTAAAAAACCTTCTTATTTTAATGCAAACTTTATAGTTCCTAAAATATGGGGTTTCTAATGAAAACACTAACAGTTAAAAATGCAGGTTATATAGACAAATGATTGAGCTAAAGTTTTCCACACATCTGTTACATTAATATTTTCTAACTCCACACACCTGCATCATAAAACTTTTGCTCCAAAGGTACTCCCTCTCAGAGCTCTCATAATATTGACTAGATTTCTGCAGAAAGTTTGACCAGTTTTTAATGTCATGTACAAGCACAGGAAACTCCCCACTCTTAAGAGCATCATCCACAGACCATTAAAGTCAACATGAGTTCCCTTGCCAGCCAATGAACTTAAATAGGCTTTGCATCCAAACCTTGCCATCCTTCAAAACAAGACATATGTAGGGCCCAAATGACTGCTTCATTCCAAGCCAAAAAGAGACCTGTTAGCTTTACACTCAATGCCTACCCCTTTGGAGATCTGTGGCACATAAGCAGCATAAGATTTCCTTCCGTGCCCAGCGTACAACACACTTGTGTATGTACCCTATGTGAAGGAACCATAGGGAAAGGAGATCAATCTGATGAATGGTTACCTTGAGAAACTCTTTAGGGACAACTCAGAACACTGTTCTCACATGTAAAAGGCATACTCTCCATTATTTCCTTGAGCAGACTACTACAGACTTAGGCCTTACAGGAAATTAACCGGAAAAACTTAAAAAACAACCAATAGTCTAGTAGCACTTTAAAGACTAACAAAACATGCAGATGGTACCATGACCTTTCGTGAGCATAACCCACTTCTTCAAATGACAGGTCTTCTGAAGAAATGGGTTGTGCCCACGAAAGCTCATGATACCATCTACATGTTTTGTTAATCTATAAAGGGCTACTAGACTATTGGTTGTTTTTTAAGTTTTCTGTTTTTTAAATTTTTCTGTTACAGACTAACTCGGCTACCCCATGAGGAAATTAACTGTCTCCCACTCCAAGGGGCTGGTACACGATAGTATAGCACTGCATCTTGTTTGCCAGAGCAATAAGAAGTGCTTGAAGGAACTAAGCCTTGCAGCAACAGACAGTGCAGAAATCCTTCCTCCCCCAAGTCCCAAAAATGAAAAGAAACCCCCCCATCTTCCATGATCAGAAACAGGATTTGAAGTGTTTGAGGGGGCAAGAAGAGAAATGCATCATAGAAAAGGCACAACTGATTCATATGCACATTAAAATACTCTCTTATACGTAGTCTTTCAACTGACTCTGCCTTTGTGTGTTCTAAAAAAAAATTCTACGCCTAGATTAATGGACTTGAACCACTGCCCCAAAACACCACAGCAAAACCAGGAAGTGCCCTTCTACTGTGTGTGCTCCAAGTGAAGGCTGAGTTCCTACTCACTTACGGCGAGACAGACTGGATTTCAGAAAAGGCCAAACAGTGCCACTGTGAATTAAGAGAACACACACAAATGAGAGGGACAGGCAACACCATGGTTCGAGAACCCAGCACAATAATACATCAATTAAATAAGAAAGGGAAACCCATAGTAGCAGCCATAAGTTTAACAAAAACCAAACACACAAGTCACCAGATACTGCTATGCTAAGAACCATTACAGAAGTCCGTTTGTATTTTTTTTCCTGAAAACTGGATTCTGTAATTTACATCAAAAGCCTTTGTTTTCATTATACTACTTATTAAATCTGTTATTACTTGCCTTTCACAAGCCATAAAGTCAACCACCTTCACTGTTTGTTCACAACTGTAAAAATGCATATTTGTACACTGTATATAACTTTTTTTTTTTTAAATCGCTCTTAACCAAACCATGGTTATGTTAGAAACTTGCTAAAAAATTCTCTATTTACACCTTTATTAAAGGACTCTAGGCAAGAGATTTAGAAACAGGATAAAATATTTGAAAGTGATTTTGATTTCTTGACATACAAGATTTTTAAATCCCACCCTCAACAACTTTCAAGCTTTAGCTGAATATTTCAGGGATTGCCCACTTGGATGACTAGGCTTTTTTCCCTAAAGAACACTGAATAAAATGTTTACATATTTTTAAATGTCAAAAAATTAATAAGCAGTAATACATTCTGCATATAAAATAAAATATTTGACCAGTAGAGGGCACTAGTCAAACTGCTTCAGTATATTAGCCCATGTTTATAAGGGTTGGTCTACATACAAACTTATGTAAATCAAACTATAGTACACTGATTTAACTAAGCTGATCCCTGAAACTGTTTTGGTTATTTAGGCATAAGTGTGAGAGTAGATAAGCCTGAAGTGAATTTTATGGAGGCCTGAAGCCTTGTCCACATAGATCATACATTACAGACACAAAATAATACTTACATATGTTATGGAAAGTAATTCATACAGAGGTACTTCTTTATAGTATTGATGCTGACAGGCACAAAAAATATTTTCTTTCACAATACTGAAATTTTACAGGTTTTATTTTATAGATATCTTTTTCAGACACTAATGATTTCAAAGGTCTGTATAATAATGGACTCAAATGTTTAAACTTTTTTACAAATGTAATATTATAAAAGATACTGATACTGTAGTAGTGAAAATAATGCTATTTCACTGTTCTAGTATCATCTACTAAAGCAAGACAAATTTACCATCTATGTTCTCACTGTGTGTTTACCCACACCTAAACTCTGTATGGCTATTGTTCTTTGACTTACACCTTGAACCCACAAATGGATCTGTGCAAACAGCACACTTAAGGAGCCCTATTCATTAGAATTGGGCTCTGCCCTTACAGATCCAGTTACAGGAAAGGAGCAGTGTAACATCCAATTGTGACAGCTTTTCTTAGGTTGCCTATTGCCATTCTAAAAGATTCCTTGTCTACAACCTCAACTACAATTTATTTTTATTCTATTTGTCAGATCCCTGGCCTAAAGATTTACTATTTAAGAGACAAAAAAGATACTTAGGACATGCATTCACACAAAAATATTTATCAAAGTAATATTCAGAGCAGGAGTGGGGAACCTTTTTTAGGTCAGAAGCCACTGACCAATAGAAAAATCAGTCAGGGGCCACACACAAGTGAAAAGAAAAAAACAATCCTCACTGATGTGGTCCTCGACTGAGAAAAAAGACACTCCCACATTCCTCTCACACATCAGAGCCATGGGGGGCCCAAGCTAGCAGATTTTGTGTGCTCCCACACCATGCAGGGACAACAAGGGGCTGGATCCACAGCGTGGTCTCCCCAATGCTGGGGGAAAGCCCCAAAACTCAGGGGCCGGATCCAGGCAAGCAGGAGGCTGCATCCAGTCCCCAGTGCCTTAGGTTTCCACCCCTCATTTAGAAGAATGCTACTGTGGCTAAGTGATGAGATCTTTATGTAGGTAGAAATGTAGGCATTTCTTTCCTTCAAAACATTACAACTATGATTTCCTCAACTGTGGACTACAACATAATGCTGAAGTAATCCTGTGCAGCTAGTTTGCAAGCTTTTAGAATACAAATAAATACCATTAGTCACATCTTCTATGAGGTTTGCATCTTTTCTAAGGAACTTTATATGTTATAACATTCTGAATGAATTCAGCATTCCTAGAAGTTCTAGCACTATTATTGACAAATGATAGTGATAGACAGCGCAAACTTCTCCATGGAATTATTGCCAGACACCACAGCTTTTAGTGTAGAATTTCCCTGTTATTTTAAATCCTGGGCATTTAAACAATCCTCTGATTTTGTAGAAACATGGTTTAATTATAGATTCAATTTATGAGACTTGTAACTTCAGAGGTAAGTATTTCTGTAAGAATTATGAGAAAGGTATCAAATGTTATGCTTATTTTGTGCACTTCTCTCGCTCTCAATTTCTCACACACCCACACCCTCTCCTGGTTTACTGGACTGTCCTAAATGAGATCTGATACCCAGAATGAAGCGTTAGTTGATCAACTACGTTTTCAGAATATTACCTTTTGATTTTGTAACACTGCTGTGGAATGACAGTCCATTGAGCTTAGAACAGCACTTTAAATACCTGATGGGTATCTAAGATTTCTTTAAAACAAGCTAGAAATATTGTTCACTAAACAAATTTAAACAAAATACAAATCAAAAGGTTAAAGAAAAGCCAAAGACTATTACAGCAATACAAGGCAAAAAATCTACATCAGTATTGGAGAAAAAGTAGTCTACCTCTCTCATGCCAAAAAAACTCATAAACCCTATTAAAATTAAATTGCGTACCTCTATTGTAGGATCATATTCATCCACAAAATGATTCTGAATTAGCTGTATTGTCAAGGCACTCTTGCCAACGCCACCAGCTCCAACAACAACAAGCTTGTATTCCGTCATTTTCAGCAGACCTGGTAACAAAGAAGTAAAATTAAGCATAAGAGAGTCAGGTTGCAATTACATATAAAGTCATCCCCAAGTTTCTTTCTTGAAGTGTTTAAAGAAAGAGAAAACCATTCTCTTGCAAGCGCACGTGCACACACAAAACAAGCTTTTTAAAAGGGATGCTATTTCTCAGAGTCAAAAGATTTGGTGCAGGTACTGTCAATAAGTTATTGAACACAAACTGAAACCAATAACATTAATTGCAAAAACAATTACATGGAACTTGGGAAATAAATTGGAAAAATCTGGTCTTATAGGTTATAATATGCAGTATTTTCTTTTCTTTTCAGAAAATTTAAGAAATTTAGGACCCTGTGCTTGAAATCTTAAAGACTAAACTGATGTAAATACTGTAACCTTTAGATTTTTAAAACATCCACTAAAAGAGACAAATATTGCAGGGCAAAGCTGCTGCCAACAAGATCTCTCCATTTTGAGCAGTGATTTAGCAATTTGTTGGATACCAGTATTAGAGTTATGACTATAATATAAAATAACTCATGCACCATTCAAAAGAGCACAGCCTCAGAACAAAATTGATTACTAAAAATGGAAGATCACTAGTGATTCACTGGAAAGTTACAAAGCAGCTAAATACAACCAAGAGAGCAAACTATACAAAAAGTTTTAATATTAAAATATGAATACAACCTTTTAAAACATTTTACTATCAAAAAAGCTGACCACCAGTGCTCACCTGTTAAGATTAACTTTCACAGATTTTTTTCTTGGCAAGAGTGGTATATTATAATATGGGGCATCTAATAATATACAATTATGTTTGTCAAATTACCAGAACACTGTCTTTGCTCATTATAGCCAATTCTGCTATACAAGTAATTATAGTAGTAAGTAAGTTCTTGAATGAGATACAAATCCTATCACAAGCAAAGAGATAAAGTAGGACAGAAAAGCATGACAGCTAAAAATTTCAGTAACATCTTAGCTCCTCTGGCTATTTACATTCCTTACACTGGGAGCTGGGAATCACACTATTTATGTGAGCGCACAGTGATTATTTTGTAGGAGGGATGGAATGTGACAACAGAATATTGTTGGGACCCAGACCTGTGGGCTGGTGTCAGGCTCATGCTGAAGAGGTGGCAGGCGTTGGCCACCTGTCCTTCAAGCAGCACCACACCTGTCCTTCCAGCAGCAGCACCTCCTCCACTCAGTGGCAGCAAAATCTCTATCTGCCTAAAGAGGCTGGTGGAGCAGAAAGAAGCCAGAAGACATAACTATGGGGCAGAGAGAGGAGGGGGACAAAGAAGAGGGCAATGAAAGCATGCAGGAGTTATAGTGAGAAGCTGGGTAGAAAGGAGAGGCAAGGATCTTCAGGATAAAGAGGTGTTTGAAGTTGGGAAGGAACATAGAGAGAGGTGCTGAGGTACAGGGGAAGCTCAGAGTGGTATAGAGGAATGGGGGCCAGGAATAGAGAAGGGACAGGGTGTAATGGCTCAAACATGGCTCAGAGGTCTAAAAGCCCCACTGAAACCCACTCTGCTGCAGTAGAGCAGGAAGTAAGAAGTATGGACGAGTGTCAAAGCTCTCAGGGGAAGACAGAGGTGCTGGTGCTCTCAGGAGGGCATGGGGATGTTAGATCAGAGGAGGTTAAGGGTACCAAGGGGATAAAGGCTCTCAGAGGGTATCAGGTTTAGGGGTCAGAAAAAGCTATAAAGGGAGCAGGGGCTCTCACGCAATATAGGATGCAAAGTAAAGGGGCTTTTAAGGGTACAGAGGGCATTGTCTATAAGGTGTAGGAAGCAGGAGAGGCTGGAATATAGAGAGTGATGGGACTCTTGGAGATGAGATGGAGGTGTAGGGGGGAAATGATGCTAGTGGCACAGAGTAGAGTTTCTTGAAGGTTATAGGAGTAAAGGGACAGAAAGACGGGGCTATGTAGGTAATGGCTTTTGGGGCACAGGGGGAGCAGGGACAGGGTATAGTGCACAGTGGCAGCTAGGGTCACAGGGGTATACAGAGATGGAAGAAGCAAGAAACGTAGGGGAAAGTTTGGCAGGGGAGATGGGCGTAGCAGACAAATGGAGGCTATAGGTGATATACGGGTGCAGTGGATACAGAGGGGAACACAAGCATGCATATGGGGAGATACTTAAGAACACAGACATGAATGAGGGCTGGAGGTACACAGGAGCCAGTAGGGGCACAGATGTGCAGGCAGCTACAGGCACCCAAGGGACAGCAAGCCCGGGGGGCGGGGGGGCACAAATGTGCAGGGAGCTGCAAATACATGTGGGCTGGTGCTGTAGGGCATTCTAGGGAGCAGCAAACACAGATGTGCAAGGGAAATAGGAAACTGTCAGGGACACAGGTAACCTGGGGCACATGAGGGGGGCAAAGGCTGTCATAGGTGAACAGGGTAGGGCACAAGAGTGGGCAGGAAGCTCATGGGGGGGTAGGAGCTGTCAGGGCACCAAATGAACACAGAATGGACAGGTAAGCAGGTTGCTAGGGCATACAGAGAGCAGAGAGGACACCAGGGGGCAGGTGGGCAGGCACAGGAAAGCAGAGCAGTAGACACATGGGAACAGAGAACTGCAGGAGGCAGTAGGGGATACAGGTGGGCAGGGACCACATGGGGGGCAAGGCCAGGCCCGTCAGAAGCACAGTTTAGCAGAGTGCTGGGGATACATAGGGGGAGGGCAGTGATTACAGATGTGCAGGGGCTGTCAGAGAGACAGGAAAACATTGGGGCAGAGAGGAGGCAAGAGGGCAGAGGATACAGGGAAGGCAGCAGGGGATACAGGTGGGCAGAGAGCACACCAGGACAGGGCCTGTCAAAAAAAAATGAGCTGCAGGGGCCACATGGGGGCA